AATTTATGTAAAATTATATAAAAAAGTTTAAAAATAGTTTTTATAAATTATTTTTCTTTTACAAAAATAAATTATTACTATAAGTTCATTAATTTTATACCGATTGCAAAAATGATGTACCGTACTTGCAAGATAAAATTTAAACCAAAAAAAAAAGGTTTGTATTAGTAAAAAAAAAAAAAGATAGGATTTACTTAGTCTTTGATTTGTACTCGGGTCTCTTACAAAATCTATGTTGAGTAACCTTGAAACATACCTAGTACAAATCGCATATATAAATTGTGTGCCAGGTTATGCATGTTGCTGATCACACATCTTAAATGTGCAAAATTCTTTAAAATTCATTGATATTAAGATTAGAATTTGTATTAAAGTTAAAAATTAACAGAAAATATAGTAAAATTATTCAAGGAAAACTTTTAATTAAAGCATGAAAGGTGGTTTCTTGAGAAATGTATTTCATTCGCTCTGATATATAATATCACGTGTAGTTCGACCATTTTATTAGCAGTAATAACCAATTTTTAGAGATTATGTAGTATAAGAAAATGTTATATAATGATTCGTTTTTTTTTTTTTTTCATATATATATGTTGATAACCTTCTTAGAATGTCTTCTTTAGGCTATTTTATTTTGGCAGCAGTTCGTGCTAAAATATAGATATTTTATCTTGAATAGTTACAATCATTTAATGACGTCTTCTTCTTCAATATGCTTCAACCTCATGATGAAAACACAGAAATCAATGAACCTCATGTGGAAGATGACCTTTCAGACACTTCTGATCAGGATCCTGTGGACAATACTACCTGGATACTATTAGAGAAATTATACAACTTTCTTACCAAAATATATAAAGACAATTTGTTACCTAAATACACAAAAACCCAAATACTTAAGAACCAACTACATAATGCAGATATTATCTATGATGCTCTTGCAATGAACAAACATCTCTAGAAGCTCATGTTCCTACAAGCCAAAGAAACAGACAAGCTTCTCTCTAAAGTTGTATACTGATTATCTGCAATTCTTGATAACTTACTCAGAGCAATTTATAATGCCAAACCAGATGGTAATTCTGACACCTTTCAAGCGTGGAAACATATTGAAATGGCTCTTAAAGACTCTAGGCCTCTCTTTTTGGATACTCTATTTTATACAAATAAACTTAGAAGAGAGCAATCACTCAAAATTATTCTCCCAAACTATACCCCACCAATTGAAAAAAAAGAAGTATACTTGAATCAATTATTAACAAAAAAAACTCTACCAATAAGCACTTCGACAAAATAGCAGATAGTTGTAAGAAGCAATATAATCATAAAAGAAATAGTTTCAGATCCACTTATGTTAAAGATAATCTCTTTTCTTGCCAAGTGCGAAGAGGTAATTACTGGCCTTATAATTGAATACAAAATCAGAAAAACAGTTTCAGAGGTGGCCACAATTATGGGGATCGCCCAAAATTTTACAACAACTAAAACTTTATGACCAATTAATAGAGGAACTCTTACCTGTTGGGAAAAGATTAGCTTTATGATTATCAGATTGGATCAGTCTGCAGGTCTATCCTAGTACACACATATAATCAAAGAGAGATATCAACCAGAATGGTTTTCATCTTCTCTTCTCAACATTATTCCTATAAAAGCAAACAACCCACCATACCGGAACTACTTAACGAAATTCAAAAATTGTTAGAGAAACAAGTTATAGAAGAAATAGATATCAATACCCTATGTTTTCAGTCAAATATATTTACTACAGCCAAGAAGAACAGTTCAGCAAGGCTGATCATAGATTTAAAGGAACTAAATTCCTATATTTGTTTTATATACTTCAAGATGGAGACGATGGAAATAGTCAAATCTTTAATAAAGAAAAATGATTTCATGACTTCAATCGACATCCAGGATGTATTTTATCACATACCATTATCATCATCAGTACGACAATACTTTATATTCGATATTGGCAACCATCATTACTGATTTACTGTACTTCTATTTGAACTTATAAGCAGTCCCAGAATATTTACCAAAATGATAAAACCTCTTCTCGCATAGGCAAGAAACCTCAGAATCAGACTTTCTATCTATCTGGACAACATTCTTTTGTTAGCCTATTCAAAGTCAGAAATAACAGAATATACTCAAATTATACTTCAAATATTAGTGAAACTCGGCTTCAAGATCAATACGGCCAAGTTCAACCTAGTTTAATCTCAACAGTTGGAGTTTTTAGATTTTGAAATCAACTAAAAAAAATGAACCTGAGTTTACTGAAAAAGAAAGTTAACGATCTAAGAAGAGAATATTTAGCAGTAATGAAGAAACAAACAATACACATAAGAAAGTTGACCACAATAATTGAAAAGCTCTTAGCCACCATTAGCGCAATTCTTCTATCAAGATTAAAAACTCGATGGCTAATAAAAGACAAAAACCTAGCCTTGATAAAACGAGGTTGGAATACCCATCTGAAATTGTCACCGCAGAGTATTCAACAACTGGACTAGTAGATCACGAACTTGGAGAATTGCAACAGAAAATGTTTAATTTTACCCCAACCAACGACAACCATATGCATAGATGTATCACTTACCAGATGGGGTGTGATAAAAAACTAGGAAGTGATCTTTGAAAACTGAACCAACATACAAAGAAACTTTTATATAAACATTCTGAAATTAAAAGCGATCTATCATGCACTATTAACGTTTAAAGATATTGAAGATCAAACAATTCTAATAAAGTCAGACAATACAACTGCTGTAGCTTACCTAAATCACCAAGGGGACTCTGTGTCCCGAGAATTGAGCTTTCTTGCAGAGAACATCTAGAACCTTTGCCTATACAAAAAGATCATGATAGTTGCACAACACTTGCTAGGCAAATCGAATCTACAAGCAGACCAAGCTTTGAGGTACAATTTAAAACAACAGGACTGGTAATTAAACCTAGTAATATTCAACCACCTAGCCACGAAATAGTGACTGTTCAAAATCGACCTATTTGCAAGCAAAAAGAATACTTAATTACTACAGTTTTTTTCGAGATTCCCAGACTCTCAAGCTCTCGCCACAAATGTACTGAATCAGGATTGGCCCAAAGAAACCCTATAGGTAAATTTACCTTGGATACTCATTCCCAAGATACTATCCAAGACAATTATGCATCAAGCCACGCTATGCCTAATAGTTCCTAGTAGTGTTCTGAAGTTCAGTTCAGTTCAATTTAGGTTCAGGTTCAAGTTTAATTAAACCTGAACTGAACTTTAAATTTTGCAGATCTTTGAACTTGAACCTAAACTGAACTTTAAATTTATGAACTTGAACTGAACCTGAACTTAAAGTTTTGGTTCAGTTCAAGTTCAGTTC